TGCACGTTATCAACCTAACGTAAAACGGATGCTTCATTTGATTGTAAACAATTATGCAAGAAAATTTATGACTATTAAAAAAAAAGAAAGAGGTAACTCTTGTTTAAAAATTTTTGAAAAAAAAAAGCAAAAATTAAAAATTAAAAAAAAAATAGTCATGGATAACGAATCAAATAAAAAGACTTTCCAATGAAACAATTGACTTTTATTCCGAAACGTTGTAAGTCAATATGTTACAAATTTTTGTATAGAATTGTTTTTGTTATTTTCGAACAATAATAGGGGCACAATTTTAAATGTCTCTGCTTTCGAACTCATTCTTCAAGATTGTACACACCTCGTACATATACCTACACCCTCACGTACTCACTCTCACAGTTTGTACACAAGTCTTACATAAACATACGCCGTTTTGAACTCACTCCTACAGTTTGTACATAAGTCGTACATAGACATACACCCTTTCGTACTCACTCTTACAGTTTGTACACAAGTCTTACATAAACTTACACCACTTCGAACTCACAGTGTATACACAAGTGGTACATAGACATTCACCCGTTACATTATTGACCAACTTACTTTTATGTACAAGATAACTCAAGGGGAAAATTAACATTGCTTCAAATCAACTGGCCACAAAATGTTACTGTAATGGCCACAAAGACAAAAAATCTGTTTTGGCGTTTGAAATTCATCAAATGTTCAATTATTAAAACGACCATCAGATCACAATGAGGAAACCTGTGATCATCAGATCAAAAGCAGAGAACCTCTAAAATACAGTTCTACATGACTAGATATATTAGGAATGAAGACATAGGAGATATGGGCAGTTGATAGGAGTTATGGGCAGTGGATGGGAGATATGGGAAGTTGATATGGGCAGTTGATAGGAGATATGGGCAGTTGATAGGAGTTATGGGCAGTGGATGGGAGATATGGGCAGTTGATAGGGGCAGTTGATAGGAGATATGGGCAGTTGATGGCGATAGGTTTAATAAATAAGAGGCATATTTCCCCAATTAAAACCACAGAAGAACACATCCGATGTCCTCTCACAGACAGGTGTCTACCATTGAAAAGGTCCTGTCTTAAGAAGATCCAATGTCCTGTCAATTTAATTTATACTTATATGAATTTTTGTGATTTTTGTTTGACCGATGAAAGCATTTGCCGAAATGTTTCCATTTGTACTCTATGTGACCCTTACTAAATCTTAACATATTTTGTTTTAATTATTTCACAAATTGTTATTGTCTCTTTAATCTACGTAAAAGCTTTATCGCAGTCTAACACTCTTATAATGATATGATGGTTCGCCCCCCCCCCCC